TGAATTTTGTCCATCCCCCAACAAAGAAACCCCCCCCCCCCCCATCTTTAACTGGGTAGTTTAAAAAAAAATAAATTGTGTCTATGTGCTATAAATCCAGTATATGATTCTTACGGATACTGAGTATATTCAGAAGTCTTTCACATTTCACTTCCTATTTCCTGTCCACCAGTATGGCTGCTTTGGGGGGAAATGTGCAAATGGTTCTAGTAGAGTAATGCCTTTTTTTTTGGCGCCCCCCCCCTTTTTTTTCCCTCCTAGTTTATATGGGACTTTACTTCTTCCCCTTTTGTTTTCACTTAGGCTTTGACACTGCCCTAAGAGAAGTGTTCCCCTCTTTATTTGCTTCTCTTCATCTCCATTGAATTCTGCTTGGCCAAAATACCATGTGTTCATGCACACAGTCTGCAGGTTGTTCATCAAAAAGATCTTTAATTCAGCAGTGATACTGGCTTACTCTTTATATGTGGGCAATACAAAGGGAAGTTTTTCAAACAGTTTTGTTTTTATTGCAGAATAAGGCGTGGGTAGTTCTGCCTTGCAGAAGAGCTTAGCCTGGGAAAACCTGATGTGGGAGGGGAGAAAGAAAAGATCGACAATCATTTATCGTGTGACATCAAAGTGGAAATAGTTCCAACGAAAAAACTTGTGGTAAAGCTTTCCAGCTGAATGTGAGCTGAAGTTCATACAGTTGCCTTCATGTTAACATAATAGCATCAGCATGGAAGCATTGGTAAAGTACCGTGGAAGAAAGTCTGTATATGCTGCTTCTGGCAAGCATCTTGCTGAAAAGGTACCCTGAAAAGGCCTCAGTCTGAGGTGTCTGAACAGAGACTGGTTTTGGCACAAGAGGCAAAGACAATTAGAAGTATCAATGATAGTAGTTTGAGTGAAGGCTCAGGAAATGGTGTATGAAATGCAAATACACGTCTTTAAAGTTGGTGGAAGATGCTCCAGTTAATGTTTGAAGTAAAAGTCATTGTCCAGGCATTGTCATAGGACTGTAGACTGGTCCTTGTTTCAAGTTTGGCTAAGAAAAGGGTATCATTCTGTTCAGCTGTCACAAACACACTAATGACCTTCAGTATTGCAGAAAATGCTATGTAGAATGTGGCTGAAGGTTTCCAGTGTTTTAGTGCCTAAGTTGAACAATCAATGAAGCACATACAAAGAAAATATTGTTGTTTCCATTGCAGGGCATGTGAGCTAATGAGCCACTTCTAATGCATTGCTTGGTTAGGGTAGGTTGGAGGGGCAAATCTTAAACCAGTGTTCACTTTCAAATTCTGAAAAATGCCTTGAGAAACTGTTAGGATGTGTTTGTGCCAGCCAATGAAAAGTGATGGTGAAACCATAAAATGATGGACTAGATTGAAAAATGGTCATTTTAAGTAACCAGAAGGCTATTTACTTTACAGAACTGCCTCATGTTAGATTTTGCATGTGCTTGCATCCAACATAGTGCGTGAAGCAAAAAGTGTGCAGAGTGAAATAAAACTGGATGGTGTTCCTGGAGGCTTGAAAAGTTTTGCTGTAGCTGTGAGACATAGCCATGAGCTGCTGTGGTGCGGGTGGAAAACAGGATACAGATAAAAGGTCACATGATTCTGTGGGCATGATCAAAATTAACATGCTATTTTTAAAGGAGTGTGCACTTGGGTTGACAGTTGGAAGTTGAGGTCTTTCAGTTAAGTCTTTGTTAAAGCAAGTTTCTTCTGCAGTGTGTACACAAAACTCAACACTGTGGAAAATTAAACTGATTAAAAACTCAGTCCATCTCTGAACAGCATCTAAGAACCAGAGAGATGATGAAAATGAGGCAGTTTACAGTGCCAAGGTGCACTGCATCTACAGGTTTGCATCTACAGGGACCCTGATTTCAACATGGAGTTACTTGTCAAAAAGAATAGACTGATTTTTAATTTATCTATTTGGTAAATTATCATGTGCCAGTTTTAGTTATATGGTCCTCATTGCTTTAGTACAGTTTCTTTCAGGATTATGTAAGACAGTTTGCCTTCAAGGAACTTTACTTCAAGAAAGGTATTGGCTATCTGCAATCTATGAGAGAGTGATTGTTGTTTCTTGTGGGCCAAATTGTAATCCCTATTTCATTTGATGGTGTTGCACAAATAATCCTGATGCCTTCAGGGAGATTTCTTACAAAAAGAAGAGTGAAGTGAATAAAGAAGCCTTAGTCTGGCTCTGTGTGGTTTATACTGCTTCTGTTTGAGAATTAAAATACAGCAGTATACTCTTAGTGGAAAGAACGTTTCTCTGGGAAGGAAGAGGAGATTGTTTTCTTTACTTAATGGTTTGACAAATACAAGTTGAGAGACCGTTCATTTAACATTGAGCTTTCATTACGTGGACATTCCATGATTTCACTGTAGTATTTATAAACCGTAGTCAGCATTTCTAATGAATGCTTGATTCAGAAAGAGATTTGTGCTTACAAAATGTTTGTATAGTAACATGAACAGAGTTTGGCTAACCATATGCTTACATGTGGAATGCAAATAGAACCATGAAAAAAGCCACTCTGACTTTGGCATGAAAAATCCCACCCATTTTCTTGTAAGGTTGTTTTTCTTCCTGTTCCATTACAAATCATGAAGAAGTGGCATTCACAGCACACTATGGTGAAAATGTCAATTGCAACAATGAGGAGAACCAAAAGAATTGTAACCATGGTTGGAAAGTTTAGCATTTACCAATGGATTAAATATGTGGGTAACATGTATTTACCATGTGTTATATGCTATATGGGTAACATGGGTAAATACTCATAGCAAAATTTTGTCTTTGTCAAGATCTTAAAGGAAAAGCAATGACTTGTAAGGTAATGTTTAGAAGATGTTTTTTGTGCGGCATACCTTTATGAAGGGCTGGACAAGTTCTTAGGCATTTTTTTTTAATTCTTCTTGTATTTGATCCTTTCTCAAGCTGGACAGGTGGCAAGTGAGTTGACTTGATGCTCTTCCTCCTCCTTCTATCCTGTGCATAAAATGGTTTTCTTGCCTCATACCAAGTAAAGGGTATAACTCTGGTAAACTGGTATTTGTAACTTACAGAGACTTGAACCTGTTGACGCTGTCCCCCAATATGTGCTTATTCCTCTGCCAGCTCCATTTTCCCAGCATAGCAGTCACAACATCAAGGATATCTTTTTGTTTAATACCAAAGATATTACTCTGTTATTCAGACTGGGATTTTTTTGAGGCATTTAAGGAAACCGATTATT